ATATATATATATATATAATTAAATTTTTTTTTTGATAAGGATAAAACCCTAGCTCATTATTAATAATACTTCATGCCCAAAGCAACTTTACCTTTTGGAGGACATTCCCAGTGAGAGAAATACATTGCCTGTGCCATATATCACTTTAACTTTGATGATGAAGGCCACTTCTTTCCTAACATCATTGAGCATGGGCATCTTCCAAATTTTTAGGAAGAATAATATCACCTTTTACCTTATGTGTTCTCAATTGTAATAATTTCTCACCTTCCTTTTAATGACTTTGTAGGTTTAGGACTCACCAGCTTCTTTAAGTTATATCATTTTTTGCCTTGAGGTGAAATAATGTCTCATCACTCCCATGTTTTCTTAATGGGAATAATGGGAGTGGAAGTCCAAATGTTTAATAATTTCTAAGGTTTGTGTTTTGGTGATGTTGGGTGTTCATTTTATGAATAATGCTGAATTTGTTAGTTGTTTTTTTTTTTGGACATGGATGTGTAGTGGAGAGTGAGCTTTGGTGATTTGGGGTTTTGTTTTTGCAGAAAAAATGGGGAAGTTGATTTTTGGTGTTCTGCTGGATATGGACAAATGGTGGGAGTGGTTGAAATTCGTTGTCTTGGGTTCTTTGTATTTGCAGAAAAATGATGAAAATTAGGGTTTCTTTGACTTGGATTTTGCTCGTTCTTGTTAATACATGTGGATGGAATTGAATTTTGGTTTACTTGGGGGCTGGGAAGTGAAGAGTGATTAGACTTTCTGGTGTTTCAAACCGTTTTTTTTTTTCTCTCAATCTATATTGCATGGAATGAAATTTCTTGCCTTGTAAGTTAGTGTTGGAGCTTTAGGGTTAAGAGATAGTTGGCATAAGTAAATGGGTAATGCAAATGTGAGAGAAGACGGGGCTGAGCCATCTGGTGATGACGAAGATGGGCAACAAGGGCAAAATAACGAAGGTTTAGACATAGATAGCCATTCTGAACAGTTAGATTCTTCAGAGATGATGGGTCAGACTCCTCCTGATAGCCCTAGGGCAGCGAGGTCACCATTAATGTTCACTCCTCAGGTTAGTTTCAGTAAATTTTTCTGAGAGTTATTTGGAATGCATAATTTTGCTTTTGTTGTTTGGTATTATTACATAATAATTGTTTTTGTTTTTAGTTTTTTTTTTGTAGGTTAATTGTCCATACATTGTTTTGTATGGCGATTTGAGGATACCTAGTTTGGTAATCAGAGGATCGAAAATGGCCATTTGGGGTTCTTTTGTATATTGATGTATCTTTGACAGTTTCAAATTTTCCTATGACAATTTTAGTCATTCTATTGATTTGTTACATAATCTGCAATACTGTAGTTGAATAATTGTAGTCTTCTTTGCTTTGATCTTTAGATGGAATAATTGGATTCAACTGTCTGGTTACTGATTCAAGTTTTAGGAGAATGTATTTTTTTTTCCTTTCTCTATACTTGTTTTTTTTTTATTATTATTTATTTTTTTTCCTTTTTTCCGTTTGTAATTTTGGCAATCTCTCTCTCTCTCTCTCTCTCTCTCTCTTTCGTGCTAAAAGCTGCCCTACCATGTTTAAAAGAGCCATTTAGCCAGTCACTACAGGCAAGTGGGTCTGTCTATGAATTTAGTGCAACTGACTTTTTAATGCCCCAACCAACTGCTTTGTATCTGGACTGTAAGTTAAGTATTGTTGAAGTGTTTCCGAAATCATCCCATCTTTAAATTCTAAATTATTGTGCCACTTTTCCTTATGAACCTTTCAAATCTAGAAATTCTGTGTTGATAGACAAGTTAAAAGGAAGTCCCCTCTATTCCATTGATGATGATTTGGGCCTCTTATGAGTATACTTTATATCCTAGAGTTGAGCCTGAAAATCTTAAGCCAAAAATTTTTCTAGCAGTGCAGTGGCATATTAAGCCTGAAAGTTTCAAGTTTTCTTTTGGTCACCGTAATGAGTCTATTATTTTGTTACATGAATTGCATAATTATAATGGAATGCATTTCCTTTTTATTTGTCATCAAAGGAGTATTTGAATTGTCAAGTGGAAACTAATTCAGGTTTTGGTAAAAAGTATTGCATTTGCTCTCTTTGTTTTCTGATTATTATTAAGCTTGGTTTCTTGTTGTTGTTGTAATAAGAGCAATTAGTCATTGATTAGGTGGCTCATCTTTGAGCTAATAGTAGTTAAATTGTCAATGGACTTTGTACTGCCTAGAGTTTTCACCCCCATACAAATTGGTACTGGTTTGGAGTGGTACTTTTGACAATCTAATATGCAAATGCTGTATATTATGGAGGTGTTTTTTGAAGTGTCTTTATCTTTAAGTTGTTTAAGTACTTATTGGCACACTAATTCTCTGTAAACTTCTGACTCAAACTTTAGTCTATCAGCTTATGGATGATGGGCTTTGCCCTTGTATTATTCAAAAAATTATATAATAACCTACTTGCAAATTATTAATTTATCAGTGCTAAACAATATCCAGTGGATACTTTTAATTTTTCTTTTTTGTTTTTTAAGAAATTGTATTTGATCCTTTTTAGATCATAGAAGAAAATTATGTTAGAAAATGTAAGTCCTAATATTGAGTTTGTGACATTTCATTGCGATGTTCGTGGTTTTTGTTTGTTTGCAAATACTAAGCATTGATGTTTGTCAACTTTTTTCCAAAACAGAAAAGAAAAAAAGAATTGTTGATGTTGCTAAACATTATTTGGTTTCCAATGAATGTGTAACACATTCTGGCTGAAATTGTTAGATTATGTTTCTACGAAGAGCATTGAGAAAAAATAAGATTAATTTCTCCCAGTGCTAAGAAAGAAACAAGGTTGTTTTCAAGTGATGCATATCACACTTTATAGTGAGTCCTAGATAAAATATTGTATGGAAAACTTGCTTCCCGTCGTTGTGGCATTGTGAAGTCAACAAGTAACAGTTGCCACTTAACTATGTGGTACTTTAGCAATGTCATCAATCTCTATACTTTCCTTTGTTAAGGAGATTTGATAAGGAGTTTTGATAAGGAGATTTGACATCTTTGTCAGTTTCAGAAGTTAACAATCTGTTTCGAACCTGCAACATAGAAACCAAGACTAAGTGCTCTTTGCACTGGTTTACTAGGCTATAAGCCGGGATGTTTGCCTTTGGTGATTCTTTTATATTCCTGGATGCATTACTTTTGTATTTCATTATTTTTTGTGAATATTTTTGTCAAGAGAAAATGTGATTCGGATGCGTAAGAGATGGAGAATAGATGAAATGCAAAGCCCCAATAGGCCATATATCGACCCCATACTCCCTTTGCAGGTGCCCATGGTACCATTACATAGGCCTGATGATATGCACAGCCCAAATAGTGCATGGCCTTACAATAATCCGGAATATGAGGACACCCCATGTGAGAATGGAATTCCATACGTGATTACTTGGTGCTATGGTGGCCGGGAAGTAGCAGTGGAAGGTTCTTGGGATAATTGGAAGTCCAGGTACAGTAGATATTTGTAGTTCTTGTTTTTCACCTTTTTCTGTAGGGAACATATCATTAAAATGGTCTAATCGCCTTAAAAAATCATGAAGGTGGTCAAATTATCCAATTTAACATTAGAGTGGTTGCTTTATGAGCTTCATTTTGCTCAGATATCTTTTAATATATTTGTTTAAAGTACACCAATTGCCTCTGTTGAGGATTCAGAACCTTAAACCATTTGGTAATTTTGCCTCACTTGATTGTCCTGAGCCAACTTATGTGAATACTTCTGCTTGTTCATGGTTCTGAATCCGAAAGATGCTCTTTATATTAAAATCTATTGTTCAGGGTTCATAAAATGGAACAAGCGCGGGGATATTTGCATCATTTGGCTCAAACAAAAGCAGCATGTAGCCAAATGGCCAATGTGCCCTCAATTGTTCAGGCTTAGGAAACCGAAACTCAGTATATTTATTGGATATGCTGGTTTCAGTTTCCTACTGTGAGCAAGGCAATATTTTCATTATGTTTGAATTAAATGGCTCAAGAAAATTGGCTATCATGCCTGCTTGTTCATGGTTCATAAGAAACGCTTGTCTGGGTTCCTAAACATGCAGGGATGACATTGTCATTTTGCTTGGATTAAGTGGCCCAAGCAAAATGACGGTTCTACTCTCACTAGTTGAGATTAGGAACTCAGAAATTTCTTTTTTTTTCTTGGAAATCCTTGTTACGAGTTCCTAACTTTGGACAAGATGGGCATTTACTTCACTTGGCTCAATCCATTTGGGGAAATTACCAAAATGTCCCTATTGTTCCGGGTTACAAATCTTGAATAAGGGCAATTTGTAATTTTTTATAATGAATTTTTTGGGGAGGTGCGTTGAGTGAAATGAATCTTCTAATGCAACCAATCCAATTTTAAATTAATGAATTGACTCCCTTAATAATTTCGAATGATGGTTTAACCATTTAGTGATATTTTCTCTTTTTTTATTGTTTTGTTTTGGTGTTTTCTAAGTGAAATTTTGGAACTGTTGAATCCCTATAAGTATTTCACTTCTGTTCGTTTTTGTTCACTAACCATTTTTGCTATTTAATAATAAAATGACATAAAAATCAATCACAACATTACGGGTACGAAGACATAACCCAAAAAAAGTGGGTAAACTAATTGTCATGAATATTATGGCCCCACACTGCTATTAAGGAAACTTCATGATCCATGCTGCTATTAATGAAACCTCCTATGATGGATCATGTGATGATAGGGCACAATAACCAAGAATCATCACATTCTTGGAAACTCAATTTGTACCAAAGTTGACCAAATAGAATCCTCACATTTTTGGAAATCTAATCTGTACAAAAATTGAGGAAGGTCCTTTGTATAGTATCCTACTATATTTGGACTCCTTAATAGCTGGAATGTGTGCATGCTAACATGTATTGTGACCCCCATGTGGATGCATGTGTATATATAAGGTAAATTTTAAACAATGAGATATACATCTATCTTTTACCTAATCGTTGTGCTTGAATGTTCTTTTCATCTCCTGTTCCTCAAACATGACTTGTACCAAAGGAGGGCTTGAAACTCTCGGATGTCCATTGTTTTTTTGCAATCCGAATCAAGATTTTCCTTTCTTCTTGGCCTTGAAGCTGTGATGTATCTGCAACCCCATATATTTCCAACGCAATTCTCTTTCTTTCCAACCAAAAGAATAAAAAATAAAAAATAAAAATAATGAAAAAAGGAAAAAAGGAAACCCTGATCTTATTCTCGCATTTTTTTTTCCTTTAACCCACGACAAAATTCACCAACCAAATATATTTCGTATCCTTCTCGCCCAAACAAACCATAAAAGGGAACTATTTTCAAGCCTTGGAAACTAGGATATCAGTATCTTAGGTAAAGACCTATGGTCCTTAGGAAAAGACTAAGGGTTTTGAGTTTGAGTGAGGAAAAATGTCATAAATCAAGCACAATATTTCCTTGGGAAGCAGTCAAGCTGACCACCCAGGATCGATGAGGGGACAAACAACTTAGAATGATCCAACTTTACCAAAATGTTCATAGGAAGCTAGAGAAAGTTACATAATGGGAAAGTGAGAGCCTCCCCATAGATGGTCCATCCCCTGATTAATGGAAAATGAGACTCTAACATTAATTGCATGGCTTCTTCACTCCATGCAACCAAGGATATATGGGAGGCAGTAGCCAGTGTTAAAAAAAAAGCACAAGCACTTACCTAGGAACAGGGGACCTTCACCAAAAACAAACACACCTCCCCCTCCTCCCCCAAACAAAAAAGACAAAGGAGTTCTTAGGGCAAGGTTTTAAGCCTTAGGGTGTTTTTAGGGCAATTTTAGATCCCCAAATGCCTCGTGAAATAAAGGAAATATAATATTACAATCACATAACAGATTTACAGATACAACGACTCAAAGAGATTGTAAGATACTAAAATGCTTGAAATCTCAAATGTCATTTTAGAAAACTAGAAGACTAGAAATAATACACAAAGTCAAAAAACAAAAAACAAATGCATGTGATATGTCACCACCCCAATTATCTAATTTCAACCAAACAACTCTATGGCATCACCACACATGGTGTTCAAGTGGATCCGTAGGAGCATATGATGATGATGATGATGCCATACCTTCATCATCAGAATCATCTCTCTCCTCAACATATTGAGTGTCATCCCTCGTCTCATCTGAATCTACTTCTTCCTCTTCAACTTCCTTTCTTGATGCCATCACCCTCTTCCTCTTCTTCGCCATTACCTTCCCTTGCTGGGCCTTCTCCTTCTCCTTCTCCCTCCTTTGGCTTTGAGATTGAGCTCGAGTGATATGCACAGGGGGCATTGATGCTTGAGGAGCCTCACAAACTTGGCCCTAGGTCAAGCCCTCTCTAGGGAATTCCTCATCATCATCGGCATCAACCAGCCACTTGCATGTGTCATCAATATCAATAGCTTCAATAGGCTCCCTTTCATTGTGCTTCAGTTGTTGATGGCGCTCTTGCAACTTCTGAATATACTGAACAAAGACTAGGTCGTTTAGTCGTTTTTGCATATGCACCTAATAGAAAAAAACTCACTTAGTTACTAACTAAGTACTAAGTATGTATGAAATTAACTATTAAGTATTAACTATTAAGTAAATAACTAAATAAGTAATATTACCATTTCAAAGGTGCTGAAGTTGCGCTTACATCCATAAGAGCTGCAAGTTAGATTTAGTATTTTCATGGCCATCTGCCTCAAATGAGGGGTGCTCCTCCCATGGCCCATCCACCATGCACCTATTTCATGTAAATGTAAAATTGTAAATGTAGTAATTTAGTAAATTAGGTATCTGGGTAATTGAAATTAAATACTCAATCTTAAAATCAAATTGAGGAAATTTTAGAGAGGGCTCTTGGACCTCTGCCTAATTGCCACCTCCTTACGTAGAGATCTAGTAGCTAGCCTATACAAATCTAACTCCATCATTGCCTTATCCTACACTTCAAGATTAAGGTTGTGCTTTACATGGCACTGGTTGAAAGCATCCATGAACTCAAGCTTGCTATGTACTTCAAGATTTGTGTAAAAATGAGCAGGGTTAAGGTAGTATCCTGCTAAGTGTAGGGGCCTCTAAAGCTGGTAGTTCCATTTTTATTCAATAATCTTTAAAAAATCCTCATATTTCTTTTCACCATGCCCCAAAGATCTCTTGATTTCTTCCTTTGCATCCTCCATGGCTTTATATATGCCCCATAGCAGGTTTCTTCCAGCATCAACCATCTTGAGAACCTTTACCAAAGGGCGGTAGACATACTGGACCTTGTTCCAAATCCATAACAACTTTTCCTTCAGCTTTCTTAGACCACTTGGACTTGGTCCAATCCTTAGACACAAACATAGACCTCAACATTTCTTTGTGCTCATATAAAGATTGCAAGGACAAGTAAGAGGTGGCAAATCTAGTCTCCCCAGGCCTCACCAAGTCTCTGTTCTCTGTAAACTTCCTCATCATGGCTAGGACCTGACCAACATAGAATTCCCGAAGTCAAGTAAATTACCCTCAATGAATCAATGCATTCAAAATATTCAAAATAAGTAACAAATAACTAAAGAATCATGATACCATAAACATAGTATATACTATAGTGTAAACCTGAGTGTGACTGTATAAATCAATTGTGACTTTGTTTACCTCTTGGATGGTTGCCACGAATGTCTTCTTCTTACCAATGGCCTCAAGCATGAGGTCTATGCAGTGTGTTGCACAAGGGGACCAAAAAATACGCAACCTCTTATTCATCAATAACCTAACAACTGCCATATTAGTTGAATACATATCGGTCACAACTTGGACCACCTTATCCTCCCCTATCTCCTCTATACAATTGGTCAACCAAATTAAAAATAAATTCCGCATCATGGGAATTGTCAGAAGCATCAATAGACCTCAAGAACATTGTCCCTATGGACAATTCATCATCAAATTCATGATGCTTCTGTGCCTCTTATTACTCCAACCACCCGTCATGACTGTGCAACCATATACACCCACGTATCCCTATGGGTATTCAAATAGTTATTGGTTAGCTCCATATCTCTCCTAAGTATTGGCCCTTTAAGCTCATAAGCAGATGTAGCCTTCACCTTGGCTCAAACTTGCCCACTGCTTCCAACGTAGTCTAGAAGCTACCCAAGTTGGTGGCATTAAAAGAAATGCCTGCTTCGAACAACCACCTCCCCACATATTGGACCACCTTATCTCTATCTTCTTTCTTGAAATGGGTCTCTAAACTTGTTTGACCCTTTTCTTGTGGTAGTACCTCAAGCTCAGGGCGGGGGAAGAAAGCATCTATAGGCCCTCTTGTTTTTGGCTACTAGAAAAGTCTTCTTCCTCCTCGTACTCCAAAAACATCTACACTCCTTACGAGTTCATGATGTCTTATTCTCAGTTTCTCACCTCCTGTTTATTGTTTTTCACCCCCTCCAAGTGCTTTATCATCTC